TGTAGCACATTACAGCCAGTAGTAGTGGTACATTTATAACAACGCGCTTTGTATATAATGATACTGAACTTTTAGTATAATATATATATATATATATATATATATATATACTGAGGTTTTGAATATAAGGTTGCGAAAACTGCATTTTTTCTGTTGAAGGAAGTTGGTTCTATAAGTCACAAAGATTATGTAACTGCTTACAGGTTACATTTAAAAAAAATGTGGTACTGTTACATCACTGTGTAGAATGTTGCAAAATCAGGAAATTTTCGGATCCGCTTAATTCTGTATTCTGTAAATTTTTTATAAAAGGTGGAAGTAGAAATGTGGGGATAGGTGCGCTCTTCATTGAATTTTTCAAATATTTTATGTTAAGAGTGATCTCTCCACGTATTTGCTATTCTAGGCGAATTTGTTTAAGAAGGAGTTACATTAGAAGGCATAATGCTGCACCCAGTATAGATCTGTTTTTTTTAAAAAAAGTTGTTTATTTGTGTCGACTAATTGTAGTTTACGGCGTACTGAACAATTTGATCGATCAGAAAAAAATGGTCATCAATAAACGATGTGATAGCATTAGTGAGAGTCGTGCTTTAAGATTAGTTGGAAAACATCGGTCTGATCAATGACTGAAGTCATTGCAAAAAGTCACTAACTTGAATTTTAAAGCGATTATATTTCTTTTTCCCCAGTAATTCTTAAGTAAGTTTTACTGAATTAGTGATTTCACTTTTTAGATGTTAAATTCTCTGTTACTACTAGCTCACAGAGATTGTTTTAAATTGTCCATTCTATCTGATATTTTTATGGAATGTAAAACTTTCATGTGTTCAGGAGATCGTCCGTTTTGGAATATGATGAAATAAACAATTGGTCCTATCAAGATATTGCCTCCGAAGAACAAGTAGATTCAGTCACAGTCTCAGAAGGTGCACTTTTAAGCCTAAAGTTTCCTTGCAAATGTAGAGAGATAATGGCAGATAAGAGATGAAGTGGAACAGAGATTTCCAGCTTTTTTTAAACAAATGACCGTGACAATTTCGTGTTTTTAACATAAATAAAGATCTAAGTGCTAAAAAATCCTCAGTGAGGATTGCAAAAAATACATTCAGAGTATAATCATAACTTTTTTCTCAGCAAGGAATTAATACGCAGACGAAGTGGTTCAATGATACTGCTCAATGAATACAAAACCTGCGCTTTTTTAATTCTTGAATTAATAAGTTCACTGTCCATATCTATTACTATTGTTGTTATCGAAAGTTATCGACTTATGGGAAAATCAGGAAATCAGCAGGTCAAAGACGCCCTGGGTAGAATAATGTAGTCCACAGAATGAATTATTTTCATGTCACAGATTTCTTATTCTATCTCTCTAAAATGCATCTTGCAGGCCTATAGTTTTTTCATTCTCTTACTGGTTTTTACAAATTTACCAGTGTCTTTTTAAATCTCTTTCGTATTTATCCAAAGAAAAAATAGGGTTTCGTGTGAGATATTCTAAAGTCAGTGAGGAAAAAATTCTGTATAGTTCTTCTTCTAAACTGGTCGCTACCACTGAAATCATTGCTTAGTAATTTAACATTAATAGCATATCTTCAGAATAGGTGCCGAAATGCAGAATGGTAGTTTCAGCTAGTTTTCAGAAAATTTTTGAATTTTGTTAATAAGTAAAATGTTTAAAAAATTTATTTGTTTTAGTTATTGGTTTATTTTATTTTCTTTTGTCTCTTTTGTCCTGTTAACGTCTATTTATGCTTTTCTATTTATGCCTTTCTTATCTCTCCGTTTCTATTTATGCCTTTCTTATCTCTCCGTTGCAAGTCCCCAAATAAATGAATTCTTGAGTTCTATTTCGTTCAATATTATTTGCCTCTTCTATTTTAAGCAAATGATAGTAGATTAGGTTTAAAACTATCCAGTGAAAACAAGAAAAGTTTTAGTCTTCGAAAAAAGTCTATTCCATAGGAAATAAATTTAAAGGTAAATCAGCCTAAGTAAAACAAAAAGTAGTGATTTTGAACCAGTGCTTTCGAATTCTGGGGTAACTGAAGTAAAGGGAAATAAGGAAAACAATTGTGCAAGATGAGACAAGACAGTACCTGTAGGAAACAGGTGATAAAAGTATTACATTAGTAGTCGCAGATCTACCGATCTTTGGGATACTTTAATCTTAAACTGGGTAGCTGAGACAAAAAGCAGTTTCCCAACCATCTTCCTCGCTATTCTGTTTGCTTACCCGCAATTCTGGTAGTTGTGTTTATGATAGCTAAGTGATTTTATTCCCCGCATTGATAATTAATGGATAGAAAGTATATTTCTACATTAATTTCAAAGCTTTCAATATTCCCAACGTTTCGGCGATGTGATAAAAACTTTCAGAAATGTCAAAATGTCATTTCCAGCAAAAAAAAAACAATATCAATAATCGGTCTTTTTTCTCACAAAAACTACGTAGCAGGAAATACCACTGGATAAGAGCGACAAGGATTCGCTCATTGCTTCTTTCACGTTTTACAGTTTATTCCTAAAACTTCTCGTTAAAATATTTTGGTAATGAATGAGTTGACTTGAATTTCTATTTATTTTCCTAAAAATCCTCTGAATACTACTATAGATAATCAATGTAGTTAATTCTCGAATAATCCCCAGTTAAATTTTTGCTATGTAATTTTAGCCTATATTTCCCAATAGTACCTTTGTGTTTGCCCATTATTAATGTAGATCTTCAAACAAACGATATTTATCTCAAAAATTAATCAAAAAAATTTAGAAGAAATGATCGAAATGTTTTTTCGCCAGTGTATGTACACACACATAAATTAATCAAAAGAAATTTCCGAAAAGCAACGAGTACTTTCGAAGCTCTTTAAGATGGGGTTATAAGGCCTACTTTAAATCTCAAAAGGTAGCTAAAACGCATCTGAGTCGCTAATTATTTTCCACATAAATTATGAAAATATTATACAACAGATAACAAAAATTTACTATTCACCAACAATCCAAAAGAATCAATAAATCTATCATTGCTAGAACTATGAGGTGAAGAAATAATTCGGTGGAAGGATGAAACACAGAAAAGAACAATTAGAAATATTCCTTTAAAACTTACTTGTGCCAGTTTAAGGGTTTCTGTAAAAACACGAACTTAAAACTGATTACTAATTATATTTAACTAGCCAGGATCAAAAGGACTATTCTTTTAAAAAGCTAGATAAAACTAGCTCTATGATGTGATCTCCCCTCTTGCTGGCAACAATGGCAATATAAGTCATAGTAACAATAAAAACAACAATAACAACCATAATAACAATAACTGTCAAAATTATCGATCATTTGTGAGACGAATCACAAAAGCCAAGAAATACCGTGCATATCACGAAGTGTCACAGTTTGTAATGTTGATGATTAGAAACGAGAATGCTTGAAGTCTTGATTGGAACTTTCTAAATAAAAATATTGAGGATCTTGGAATAGTAGAATAAAAAACAAGAACACGTGAAACGTATAGAAATAAAGGCAAGATATGCTAGATATACATTCATGGAAACAGTATAGATTTCAAACGACAAATGCAGTTCCAGCTGTCTAAACACAAAACGTCCAATGCGTCACTGATTACACATTTCGTTAAGGTCTTGGCACCAATGCTTCTCACAAATCTCTCCCATATATCTAACTTTTTAAGTGAACTTTTGATTGATCCTAAAAAAATAATTTTTCTGGAGTTAAATAAATAAGAAGTTTTTCGGAGATCAGGAATTCAGGAAACAAAATTTTAATTTGATCAAATAAATCAAAAATCTGTAAACCAAAATAAAAAGTTAATTAATAATTTTGCAAGAATTTTATAATAAAAAGAAAATAATTCGTCACAAAATACCGGGAAATTAGTAAAAATGAAATTAATTCAGTCGGATATAATGAAGAAAATCAATTTAAGCAATGTCGTGCTCGTACTTCTATCATTTCTGCAAGAAGCTAAGTAAGCTGTTGAAGCTAATAGCTATGATTAGTCAAATCTAACTGCATATAAGCTTATCATAACGAAGAACTTAGATTCACAATAGACTAGCATTGGTTTTATTCAAATCAACGGCGCTTTTCTGAGGTAGTAGAAAGAGGGGATTCGAAAAAGCACGGTGTGTGTATGCTATAACTACAACCTCGGGAAATGAGACAGGACACTTCAAAACTTGCAAAATCGTAAGTGGTGATAATTTGCAAGCAAAGAAATACATTCAACATAGGACACAGATAAGTTATTCTAATAATTACATTTCTTCTTTAAGCAACTGCCATATACAAATGTTTAAACATGAAAGAGATAAAGTCTAAGAAAGCACAGAAAATCTAAAAGAAACCAAAAGCCATTCCCAATTATTACTATGAAAAGCCTAACAAAGATAATCATCAGCAGCTATTTTATTTCGCAAATTCAATGACTTCAAGGCTTCTATTTCATCTTTGTTTTAGCATAAAAGTTTCGGAATCAAAAATATGTTACAGAAATATAGGAAGACAAATCACTAGCGTTAACGAGGAAAATAAAATCGTTTGGTATCAAGCGTATCACAAAAATATTTGCAGGAGTGAAGAGAAAAAAATTACGGATGTGATGAAAGTAAAACAGTTCAAGTGCAAACTATTATTTTAAAATGACAAATATAAACAGGAAAACTAAAACAAGCATAAATATTATATTTCATTATAACAAAATTGCCCCGGTCGTCTTGAATGATTTACAACAATTTTCTTTTTATATTTCTTGGAAAATTTTTAAAACAATGAACTATGATATTATGAGAATACAAATATTTAATTTCAATTATTTAAATTATTATTCCTCATATATATATTAAAATTCCTCCTATTACAACGGAATCTGAAATGGTCTACTGCAGTGCGCTAAAAAATAGGAAGTCAAAGACATATTTTGATTCAGAGGAATAAAATTCCCGAAAAGTGGACAAACAGGTTTATGATGCACTAATCTTTATTTAGAATCGTGGTATTAATGTTCGGTTGAAGCGAAGCATTGCATCACGCTCCATTCTTGCAGGTTCATCGATTGTTTTGATCAGTGTGATCGGATCAAAGGTAACACAGCTCAGGCCATTGCCATTTATATCAGTACTGCTCTCGTTCGGTCCATCTAGTGAAGAGGTTGCAAAAATTCGCTCCAGTGAAACAGTAGAAGAAGGAATTGTCAGTAGTTCGGTAGCTATCTCGGCTAGTAGTCCGTATTTAACGGCATTGAACTGCCAGTATTGCAGTGGAGCTAAATTTCGACTGTTTAATGTTATTGGAAGCGCACTTGTTGCTATCGCAAGTGATGATGGCGGTGTTTGATTGGTCCCAGCCTGAAATCTAATTAGAACATATTGGTTACTAGGAATTCAGTATAACCTCCGAGAAAGTCTTCCGAGAAAACTCTTCTCTGATAGCAAATCTTTGGAATGCTTATAACAGTATGTCAATATGTTTAATTGAAATTGATAAATTTGCTTGTTTTGAGCGAAATTCAAAACTTACAGCAAGTTCATCGAAATAAGACTGTACAATTGCTTCGGCATAACGATTTTTAGCAGCAGCTTGTTGCTTTTCCTAGGATTTTAGTAATTTCAAAACCAATTTAGAATAAGAACTTCTAACTTGGCGGTTAAATTAGGCTATTCTACATAACAATTACATAACAGTTATTTTTTTATAAGGAAGTGCAAAGACTTGCAGAAAGTTCATCGAAATACGACTACACTATCCCCAGTTTTAGAAGAAAGTTTCTAAGTAATCGAACTCTCAGAATTCATTACTTTCGCTGTCTTAATTAACACCTTGTTTATAACCTAGCTTTTCCAATGACTCGAATTATGTGAAGGTATTTTTTAAATTAATGTTTTGAAAAGGTAAAATTACTGCAAAATAAATATGTTAAACAATTTATGATAATCCTTAACAATACCTTCATCATTTTTCGGCGTTCATTTGCAGCATGGATAAGGTCCGGATAGAGAGAAGTACTTTTTGTAATATTCTGACACGAAAGTGATATATCGCTGTTTCCAATATTACCGATACTCTTACTGCCATTTCTTGAACTGCTGCTACTCATTCCAGAAGCTGCTGCCAACGACGAGGCAGCAGATGCACGATCTGTTACTGTCACAAGCAGTGCATCAACGCCACCATTTAGCCGTGCAGTACGACGAGCCACTATTTCTTCCGCCACCCTCATACGTTCGTTTAACTACAAATTATTATATGGATCTTTCAGTCCTCCAATTTAGAAACTGTCAATTCTGTATTTAATTTCCATATTTTGGATTCTAATGTGGAAATCATTTTGAATTAGTTAATTTCCATATCAAGTTTTGTGCCTTACGTATCTTGAAATTTGAACTTTGTAATTTATAACAGTATCCATTGAGCTTCTGCACTTCTTTACAAAACAGTTTAAGTGATTTGCTAAACAAAGGAATAAACAAAGGAGTATATATATATACTAAAAAAGGAATATATTTTGCTCAAATTTTACAATTTCAGTTTTTTCCAAAGATAATATCAATGATTCTTCTGTACAGTGGTCATCTCTTTTTTCACTTTTTACCAACCAAAAAAAGTTGATATAAAGATTCTTCAATACCTCTTGCTCGATAGCATTCCTAGCATATGATAATTGCTCGTCATCCAATAGTAGAGCTAAATGTGGATTCAAAGCTGTTGCTTGAATGAATGTTCCATCAAAATCAGGAGCAGTAATATCTAATATTGATGCCGTACGCTTCTGTAAATCCGTTTTCAACTGAGTCGCTAAATCTCCAAGTACAGTAAAATCCTGGAATTTGACGATTTTAATTTGGAATTTAAATTTCAATTCTCATATATATCTTACAATCTAGCAAGAAATATGTTCGCTTTACAAGATCAGTTTATAGACACGTTAATTTAATGTATTAAAAGATCTAACATAGAGCTTTTTTGATTTCAAATAGCAATACTTTAAGCTAACTTCTGCTCGTGCACTCCATATTAAAGAGGTATATTTTTGAGATCTTGATAATTGAAACCGAATTAGTGGAAACAGTTTCACTCAGAAGAAGAAAAAAAGGAACTGGGCCAAAAATTTATAAAATCAGACTCGTTTGTTTGTTAAATTTTCATTCTCTCTCCTAGCTTCGTCAGCTTTGTCATATATATTGCGATTCAAGGAGTAAATATACAAGATCTGTTTAAGCATTATAAGAAAACTTGGGTAGTAGTGAAGGGAAAGAACTCGAGAAATAATTCGAAATAAATATGTAGGTTCGGAATAATATTTTCAACATCAGCATTTACTGAGCATGATCTTTGTTAGAGTAGCTTACAGAACAAAACATCTATATTTTAAATATGTAATGTGGAATTCTTGTTTTTTTTTGCAAATATATAGTTCTAATGAGGTATTTGATTTTCAACTGTGATTACTTTTCGAAATGTGATTATATAAATATATATATTTATAGAGAGAGGGAGAGAAAGAGAGAAAGAGGGAGCCTTACTGGGTGATTACCAAGAGAGTGTTTGTTTATCATAATAATTGTAACTTTTAACAAACCGACTGAACAAATGATTTTTTCATGCAAATAGAATTCTTCGATTCGCCCTATTTTCCACTTAATAAATTATTTCTTATGTAATAAAAGATACACACTTTCTCAAGGGAAAGTTGCAACTGCATCAGTGACGGAACAACACCATCAATTGTTGCATAAACGCCATCCTGTATTACTTTCATATGAGTGTGAAAGAGCCGCAATAGCTTTGAGACATTTTCCAGAACTTGCCTTAATATACAATTTATTAGGATGAGGAAAAATTGTGAGATTTGATGTATGGCTATTGTTTTTTCTTGTCACTTGCATTGGGAACATGTTAATCTACCGCCCTAGTGCACTGTAACCGTCTATTTAATAAATTGTCGACCTTTTTCTCCTCTCTTAAGCTTGTTATATACATTTCATCTACATAAATATAAAAATAGAAGCTGAAAACTTTAGAAGCTAATAATTACCACTGGGATTCGCTGATTGTTTCAACTGGGTATTCAAAAGATACTTGCGCACAAACACATAGGAATGCATCTTTCAGTTCGAGAATGGCATCAATGAGAACAAGAAACGAATCAGCAATGGGTATTGATACTGGGTGTCCTGAACGTACTTATCTTGCTTATGCTGAATTTTATGATAAAAATACGTAAAAATCCTGTACATTAAATTTTACCGACAGTCTGCTGCAACAACTGCATAGCATTTGGTCTTGTGACGAAATTCAAAATCATGCTATAGAAGCTTTTCTTTAGTTCTTCAATTCCTTCATTTGCATCTATTACATTCAACAAAGACTGGGTCAACTTTTGATTGTATGGCTCCAGCTAAATTAGTTAATTGCATGAATTATATTAATTGCGAATTTTAATTTTCATTTTGGGAATACCGTCAAGCAGAAAACAAGAAGCAAATGATTTTTTTTTTTTTTTGTTTTCTGGATTCAGAAGGTTTTCTGTATTGATTAAGAACCATAGACCTGGACGAAATTTTCAGTAATGTGAAAATCAAAATAGAAAAAATCAAAATACCATCCGAGGGAAGATATCTTCTGGAGAAACACTAATTCCAACTAATTCACATACATCATTACAGAGATGGCGCGATACTTTGTCACTTGAGACATCAAAATCTGAGAGAATCTGAAGATATGAAAATGTTTGATTGAAATTAATTACCGTCGCTCGCCATATAAATTTTATCAAAAGTAATTTATAAAAAAAAATTTATTCGTTCAACGAATAGTGTATTCTAATGTATTGTCTAGAATGATGCATTGAAATGAAGAACAATTATTATCTTGAATAACCTGCTCAACTGTAGATTTGATAGCATCTGCGACATTTAGTTGATCAGCAAGTGGTCGAACACCAAGTAATGCAACTTCTACTCGTTGTGCTAATGGACTGTGGAAGGCTACAGATACACAAAGTCGAATCAGTGGTCGCATTTCCTCCATTCGCGTAGCAGATGATTTCGGCGATTCCGTGCCAGATTGATTCTCATCAGACACTTCGAAACCACTGTCTGAGTTAATGGATGTTGAATCTTTCGACTCCAAGTCCTTCGATTCTTCCTCAAATAGATTCATTTATCTGTTTCCAGTAAATAGATTAGCATTGAACAATCTAAGAAAAATGGAAGTTTTGAATTCCATTTTCTGAAAATTTTCTCAGCCTTTAAATTTGAAAAAATAAAATCGAGGGCTTTCAAATATTTTTAAAGAAAGATCCAACAAATACCTTATCATCAACACTTGTAGGAAGTGCAGCAGAGGATGCTGATGTATTTAATTTCAATACATCAATCATGACAGCAACTTTTTTTGCAGTGGCTAGTTGATTTTTTAAATTGATAACCGTTCTTGTATGCTCTGTATTGATTATCTAAAATTACTATCCTGCTTACCATTATCTTTTTTAAAGTTTTAATGTGAAAATTGTTGTCTGAGCAATACCGGCAGGAATGTCAATTTTGTAAGTTGTTTTATAGAGGAAATACATACTAGAGATATTAGACATTTACTGAGAGCGTTAGCTCTATCAATATGGCCTTGAAGAGAAAAAGGAGAGACATTCCTGAGAAAAAATTTACGCATTACCGATTAAAGCTAATGAAGTCAAATTGTTTGACATTATTTCTGGAAACTAAAAATTTTTTTTCAATGTCAGAAACGTAGTTTGCAAAATACAGAATATAAATCACAGACTTCCTCTATATAGTTAATGTCATGCGGCATCGAAAAACGTGGTTGAACATATTCCATGAATTCACGAAAAAATGAATTTTCGATGATGTTTAATGGTAGCTGACTGGCAGAAAGCATTAGTGCCAATTTAACTTCCATCTCTTTCTGCTTTCGATCTTCACGATTCCATTTTCGACCGATCGCTATTGCACCACTTGTCGCACTACTGCTAGCAGCCATTAATAAATTTGCAGTCAACACATCTGCCAATGAACTATCTGAAGGGTGAGAAGATATTTTGAATTAACGTGCTCTTACTCTATGACTTAGAATTAGCATAACAGATTTTTTGAAGATTAAGTAAAAAGTTTATCTCTATATTATAGATTACTAAACTCGTGAATATATTTAAAGCTGCAGAATAACTTGAAACATTCCACTTCTTTTAATCCCTTAAAAATCGTACAACTGTCTCTTTCTGCTTGTTTTTTTTTTTTCTGATTCATTACTTAACCAATTTATTCTTCGTTCAAAATTACCTAACCAAACAATTTATAAAGAGGCAATTTAACAAAGATATGATAATTTTCACAATTAGATCGAAAGCAATAAAATTTTGAATGATGAACAAAAAAACTAACTGCTTTTGATTGGTGGTGAATTTCCGGATGCACTTCGTGTGTTGCTAATACCACCACAGTTGTTACCATTATCATGTTCTGAGTTATTGAAAATGGCAGCAATTGGATTTTGTAACAAATGACCATTTCCACTAGCTAAAGCTGCCACACTCGCCCTTGCATTTAAAACATCCAGAATACTACTTAAAAGACTTGTTAATAATTCGAATTATGTATTGGATCTATCACATTTATTAGTGTATTGAATTATTCATTACAAACAACTGTATTTTTGTCTGAGAATAGTTTTTTAAGCTAAGTTGCTGAATGAAATACAGACCTAACATTATGAGCGGATTGCTTTCCGGAATTAGCAACAATATTTGAGACAGGTGTATGTTGTCTTATAGAATTGAGTGAATTTCCTGACGAACAACCATCATGACCATGACTTTTCAAAATATTATTGCTACCACTGTTGCAGCTATTTCCAGCTGTTCTCACACGGCTGCTACAACTGTTTAGCTGTGCAACGTTGCCTGATCCGGAAGACGCAGGAGCAGGAGAAACTGACATCTGAGAAGAATTACTGCTAATGTTATTTAGACGGTCACGTGAGTAGATAGCCTGAAACTATCGAATTTACTGCTTATGACTAACTGCAGATTTACTGAAATGGTCCTATGTCCCTCATATACCTACTCCAGGTTGATCACTCTTAAGCTCATTCTATAGTTTATGAATTTACAGATGAGAGCAAGTTTTCTTAAGACTAAATAATTAGACAAACCTTTAACTTTTGGTATTCCACATATTGGGGTGGATGTTTCTTAAGATGACAAGCAAGTGTACTGGTGTGCGGTCCTTTCAATACATACGTACAATTACCAACAATACATCTGTAAAAATTATCTTGCTTAATTTAACTGACCGTCTAATACGTCTAATACTCAGAAAACTTCGAAAGCCCACCTGCTCAGGTTTTCAGCCTTGTTATAAACAAAGAACTTCCAAACCGGAGTCTGCTTATTGGTTCCACCGCTTCGGATAGCTGCAGCTGGATTACGATGCCAAGACCAGTCATCTTCACTGAACAGAGCGGCAGCTGGCGATGATGCTGCAGCTATGGCACCCGGAATTGGTGGTCCTGGTGGCACTACAAAACTGTCTCGCTATATCAGCAATTTTCAGGTTACGAAATTAATGGATTACTAAAAATCAGACTTCAAATCATTTAATTTAAAATTTTTCGGAAAGGATTTTTTAAGTCTAACATATTAATATAATAAACAACATCGTACACAACTTCACACATAATTTTGCGACAAATAAATTGGAAGTGGGTCATTTCAGTAAAATATTTACCACTTGGAGTAGCTGATTTGCCGCGGCCTTTTTGATTCGTAGGTTGCATTTGCTGCAATAAAAAAAATAATTCAATTGGTTAATAAAAAAAAACAATACTTATCAAAAAGCTAGCTGTGAATGAAATTTTTAGTTATGGTAAGCCTCGGTTTTTATTAGCAAATAAGGCAATATCTTACTTTCATGTATGCATTGGTAGCTTGAAAGATCATTGCTGTGGAAAATGCATCTACGAGACTTTGACCACTTCTTGGATACATCAGACTGTTGCTATTGCTGCTACTATTAGCATTTGCGCACAAATCATCTCGTTCCCGTTCCTCTTTCATGAAAGATGTAGAACTGGATGAACGGGCCGATGATGGACCTGCAGGTGATTGACCTCCATTTGCTGCATCATCCAGAGGACTGCCACTATTTTGGTATGTAAAGGTTGGCTTTTCCACAATTACCTGCAAATTGAATTTCGAGACGCAGCTTAAGCCTAATATCAGTGTCCTATGCTTAATCTCCACATTATCGTGTCATAAAAAATTTCAAATTTGAAGATGTTACTTGAGTAGGTAGAGATGATCGAAATTTTTTAGGCTCAGGAGCTTCTCCTTGGACAACGATACTCATCGCTCGCTTCTAAACAGTTTCTTGAATTTTCAATGAATTATTTGTATTATCCTGCAAAGATTTAGGAGTTTTCATATAAAAGTGAATAGCTAGAAAAACGTCTCAGAAAGCGTGAATTATTTGCTTGAAGCATCATGAAATATCGCCAAATATTATTCACCATAATAATCAATAAGATCATATAAATATTAGCGACGAAGTTGAATACGCAAATTCATGTAATGTCTCTAACCAAAATATTCCGCTCTCTTTCCATATCTTCCGTAAAATTTCACTAGAAATTCTGGAAATGGGATCAATCAAGTTCACATAAAAATTGCTTCTCTGTTCTCACATCTTTAAATATTTATAATCTATATGTACTTCAAAGGAAGAGTTCATTTTTTACGCGTAATCCCTAGAACGAACAATAACTTTATGATATTGAAAGGATCAGCGTTTTTAATTTTAGGTAAAAGGTGAGTGCATAACCAACCTATACTAAAAAGACAATGATGTCATTCCTTTCTGACCAATTTCTATTACCTAATCTTACTTGTCCGTGATTAATTTCGAGCTCACATATTCTTCTGGTTGAATACTTTACTTCTTTACTAATTTTAATTTATTTTGCTATGTGACATTTGTGTATATTACATCAATTTATCGAAAATTAGTGTATATATTTAGTTTTTGGAATAAGCTTTTAAAACTTTTCCTCTCAAATTCCTCTGGGTCAGCTAGAATGACCACTTCAAAAACTAACTGTATGAAATCAACGTTCACCTTCCCCAGCACGAGCTGCAACAATTTGCAAATCAACAACAACAGAAAAGAGATTAGTTGTACCTAGCGCTACCCAAAACTCTAACTTCCTTCTATCTGGATCTATAACTCATAAGTGATTCCATCCTAAAGAACCACTGGCATTTCCTTCTCACAAAACAGGAAGGATTAAATTATGAGGTTAAGATTAAATACTGGAAAAAAACGCATTGTAACTATCAGATCTGAAAATGATTTTATAAAGCTTATGAACTGTAAAGTATAAATTCCTAATGGAATTTATGTGAAAAAATTCTTGTTTCTCCCTTCAGTGATTTATAAATTTCGAAATAACTTATTCCAAACAAAAGCAAAGGAAGAAGAATGTACCATAGATGGCTTAAGCAGTTTAAATGTGCTAGGATGGAAAATAGATACTTAAAATTTCCTTTTACTTCTTCTCTTGTTCGACTCATAATATAAACATTGCGTTCAGGCTGAACAAAGCTCTTCAGTAGGAGCTAACTACTCGTCTCTTCTGGATTACTAGTAAACTTAAACTGACAAGACAACTGACAAACTGCTCGGAACTCTGTCCCACATTCTTATTCCTTTCATTTGCTAACATCCACTCTCAGCAATCTTTTCTTGCACTAATTATGAAAGAATTTGAATTACATGTAACACTGATCAACTTAAATACTAAATGCTGCATCCATTACACAATCCATGTAAGCCTAATAAAAATATTAATACATGTTACAACTGGAAATGAAAACAAGCAAAGCAATCTTAAAGCATCATTCTTTCATTCCCAACTGTTAACATATTATGAATTGAAAAGAGAGGCGAAAAAGTCATTGAATTCAATGTGCTAGTAGAATCATTATTATATTATATTATATTACAGTTACTTCATTACACATAAAACAGAAGATTTTCTCCGTGAAGTATTCTAACCATTCCTCATGCCAGTTCAATGGGATTTATGGTATTGCTATCATTTCACATCTACTTTTTTTTTGAAAGACTGACTATACATCAATAATGCCAGCCAAAAGTTCTGCAGCACTTCAATCTACGCTTTGAATCAACCAATGATCCTAAGTTCAAAATGTTTTTAAAAAATTTAATTAAAAATTATGACTTCATATATGTTTTTAAATCCTTTAAATGACATCTTGTTCACGTGAACTGAAATAGTTGTTACACAAAAGTACGAGGTACAATAGGGTATACCGCGGAATAGCTTAGCAAGTTTTCGAATGCTCAAGTCACTGAAGTGTGCGCTAATGTGCTGTTCTCGCTATTGTATTCAAGCCACTGAGTAGTTTCTAATTCTTCAGTGAAGAGTGCATGTGCAATCAAGAAGTGAGATAATTAAGATTAAACAATAGATGGTAATTAACTGTTTACTGAGTTCCAGTCCTCTTTGACCTCTACATTTAAGAGTCAATGAAGCAAATAATGTGCTTATGTTCGATCGTAATATAAAGATTTCCTAAAAAAGAAAAAGGCTTATCTGAGACAAATTTTTGCGCTGACAAAAAAGTCTGCCTTATTTTAAAACAACATTTAATTACTATTGTCTGATGAAACGTGATTTCAAAACAAAGTGGTATCAAATTAGTACTTTAAAGAATAGGTTCTTCTCGGACAAATCGTTAAGCAATATATCAAAACATATTTAATGGTCAACAAATTTTGACCATGATCAAGTTGCTTTCATTGTCTACGCAAATTTTATGTTCATATGGAGAAAAAAGGTGTTGAATATGAAATCTTTAAGGAAGAATAGATATTTTCAGCTTGCGACTTGAAGCATAATAATCTGTCATTCTCATTTATCCACTTGTGAAATGTTATTTCTTGAATTATTTCGATCTATGGTCATTTACTTGCTTCTCACACTACACTAATGTGTTTGTTTCAGTGATTAAATTATCATTTACAAATTATTACCCATTTTGTTAACTTCAATATAACTAATTAAGGCTTCCAAGTACGGTGATTAAATTCTTAATGCAAAAACTGGCTGAATAAAATAAAGCAAACATGAAATTTGTCACCAACAGGATGCTTCCTTTAATATATATCAATATGCCATCATATATCAGTCTACTGATCTCTCTGGTTTTATTCCACCTGTATGGCTCATTTCCAGTTGGCCAGACCAGAAGTATTATGCTTCATTGCCAATGTATAAGCAAGTATTTTCTGTGATCTTTGAAGGTTATTTGAGAACATTTTCTTTCAGATGCAACCAACGTAATCTACTTCTTCAAGCAGTGACTGCTTGCGTGACAAAAAGGAGAATCCAAATAAAAAAGAGACAAGTAAAAAAATCCGAGAAACATCTTGTTGAAACGACAAGGATGTCTCTGCCTTTCTGTTTATGATAAGAGAGGGTGACACCATTGAGATGACAGACGACCGTAATCATACATGTGGCCAGACACAGTAATGCTATCAGTTATCTCTTTCTCCTTTCTTTACCACAGAGGAAAGAAACGGAGAGAGAAAAAGGTGAATGAGCAGAGATGACAAACAAATTAACCTAAGAAAGGTAACCTCTCAGGTAATGGTAGACAGACAATTAGAGAAATCTCTTTTTCAGACTGACCAACATTTCCACATACACAGTCAAACTTTGCAATTGCACATTCGCACTTGCGCACTCTGCACTTGCACATGCACATGAGCATGCACTTCACCTAAGCAACAACCAACCAGGAGAGCACTGCGCGACAGATTTGTTGACTGGGAAGAATGAATGGTTGATCTGCTGTTGCGTCAGATCTGCAAAAAATTCCATGGACTACGGTAGTTTCACGTCTTTTTGGTACAACGAAAGTAATCTAAATGAGAAAATCAATGACCTATTCATCCGGTCACTGCAGATCTGAAATAAAAGTCATTAATTTCATTGGCAAGAAGTACAGGTGAAGATGACGACAGAGACGAACATAATGAAAAATCATGTATGATTGATTGATTGCTTTAGCACAATTACTGGTATATGCCAGGAACAACTGTACTTACGACCAAACAAGGTGGTCACGTCTACGTCATAACTGTCAGTCCAGAGTATATTATGCTGTTAACAAGGAGACATATTAGATTGTGAGGACTAAGCCACACGTTACTTTCTCTTTAAAGAAGTTACTGATATAAATCAAGCTACTCTTTTAATACTCAAAGCGATTAAGTAATTTATTCTGCCTATATAGCTCGGGAATGCTTTTTGAACACTATCATTCGTGTATTACTGTAAACTATTCAATTGAAATTATGCAAATCGGCTGAAAGACTAATTAGCTAATAAAAAAAGGAAGAAAAAAGAACAGTGTTGTCGGTAAGTCGTATCAAGCATGATCGAAATCCAACTTATTACATTTCTAGCTGTGTTCAAACATCACTGAAAAAACATTCATGTCACAATTTCGGTTTTTGAATGGTAGAGGAAGAAATTTAGCGAGCAATGTTTGCGCGTTAATTATTAGAATCGAAAAATTAAATTTGATTTGGTAAAACTGCTATACCAAGTTGAAATTTCTTGAAGGAATGGGTATTTAATTTCCCCGTTTAAACTCACCCATCCATTCAGTGATTCGCCATGCATTATAGATCCTTTGCACCTCCGTTGCTATCGTTGTCATCATTACCAACTTCATCGTCCTCATTTTAAAGGATCAGGTAAAAACAGAATGTAAAAATGTGCGCATAATATACAAAACAAATTAACAGCGATAGATTCTTATCTTTGTCACCTTTCCTTTTTTTCTCGCTTCCATCTTTCCTCTCAAAACTTTCTTATCTTTTACTTTTTTCTTTTTACCTAATTTCTTTTGCGTGACCTTTTCATGAGTGAGATGCAAGTTTTCTTTTTTTGTTACTATGCGCTGCCCATTAAAAATTCACAAATTACTGCTTTTTTTAAAAATTATTTGTTAAGATGCAGTAATGCGGAATGTCCTGATTTCGGCCTTTAACATGCTAAAATTCCTTCAATTCTTCACAGACTGCAAAAGTCATTTAAATTACAACACTTATAATTCCAGTTTTTCTGTTGATGGAATGAGAAAGCAAGCAATAAGTAAAGTTTTTACTTTATATCAACTTTATATTCATTCTTTAACTACTAGAAAATTTAGGACTTACTAAAAATATTTTAGATTTGTAGTCTGTACCAAAATTTTACTTTTACAAGTGACCAAACGACAAAGGCACGGCTCTTACCACACTACCATTGTTAT